TATCGATGTCATTTCTAAAGAAAAACATTGGCAGTAGAATGGGTCATACTGAAGAGTTCAGTGACATTAAATGTGACACTGTAGTAGGATGCCACCTTTGCCACAAGTCAGTCAGTGAAATTTCTGTCCTGCTAAAGTCACAAACTGACCTGTGGCAAAGGTGACATCCTACAGTTTGTGGCATGTTTGTGTGTTGTGCTGGTACGAGTGGGTCTGACACAGCAGTGTTTTTTAAACACTGTCCACTCTATTAGACACACCTGGCTTGTTGTCACAAACTGTTCAATCCAACAGTGACACTAAGGTTATTAACAGTGGCAATTATGGAACTACAATGAACACCATTATTTTTCATGTTTTAAATGTCCATGTCGCTCTCCAGATGTTTTTTTCTGGTGGATGCTAAGGTACTCCAAAGTATGCAGACAAATGGGATTAATTTCTTCTTTCCACCTCATTAGGGTTACTTGAAATATGTATTCCAGTACAGATGAATGATTATCTCTTAAAAACTGTAATCTGTAAAATAATCCTAATCTGCATTAATGCAATCTGATCACTATCTGTTACTTTTGGAATACTTGTCTCTTTACAGTCATATAATTAATTTTTTTTTTTATTTAGCGAATGCAGTCCTTAAGACAAGCAAGTGCATCTTGATCTATACAACATGGAGAGCAAATAATCATCATTTTGAAGGAAACTTTGAAGGAGGCAAGTTTTAGTGATGTGTTCCATTGTTCGCGCTCTTCCCCTGCAAACAGTGGGATCGGGCTGCTGCCCCACCTGTGAAGGCTGCCCAGACGTGGGCTGTGGCCATATAATTAAACAAAGATAAGAGAAAAATAAATTAAAACAAGATGACTTTCACTTACCCCAAGGCAAACAGGAAAATGCACTGTTTAAAAAACTAAATGATATAGGTGACAATTCAGCATCTCTGCATGTCTTTGGACTCTGAGAAACCCACACAGACATGGGAAGAACATGCAAACTCCACACAGAAAGGACGCTGGTTGTCCGGCCAGGGAATCAAACTTGGGCCCTTCTTGTTACAAAAAGTTACAAAAAAGGTAATTGTATTGTGTTACAGTTACAGAAAAAAAGACAGTAATCTGATTTACATTACAATTCAGGACGTTACTGGCAGAATTACATGCATACCTTTAAGCATTTTGACAAAAAAACGGCACAGAGCAGCATGAATTCCATGCTAGTGTAAGCTGGTTTATGCTGGTCTGGTACTGGTTTAGCTGGTCAGCCAGCAGGGTCATGCTGCTTGACCAGCGTACCAGCATTCAAAAACACAACATATGCTGGTTTTGCTAGTGAGTAGACTTGCTGGTCTATGCTGTGCAGCAGGGATGATAAATGTGTTGTATGAGTTCTTTAATTTTAGGAAAGGGTCTGGGCTGCCACGAGCAGAGAAATTTGAAGAAGACGTCCCCTCACAAGCAGCAGTCACAGCCTTTTATTTGAAGAACCATCTTTTTTAAGATTTACTTAATTTTTCAGTAGTTTTAGAATGATGCAAAAATGTTGTAAATAGCTAATTCATCATTACTGGTAGCTAAAACAATCAGCTCCCACTTAGTTTTTGTGTGAATTCAATGCCTTCTATAACTCGTAGGATATGTTGATTTCTGTGGACTGCTGGAAGTTAACAAATTGCAAAGTCTAAGCAAGTCTAAGCATGACGCCAGGGTATGAAGCCTTATGAGCCAGTACATACCTTTTAGCAGACAGAACACAAATGACAGGCCTGGGGTTTTAGAATGGCTTTTATCTCTAATAATTATAATTGATAAGGGGTCTAGATTTCTACTAGATTGACCTTTTGAGGTAGGTAGTACTATTTTTTCTGTAACTGTACAATACAATTACCTTTTTTGTAACAGCTTAAATAATGCTGCTACAAGTATTCCTTTACTACCCAACCCTCCGTATTCCTCAGACTCTACATTTATGTTGACGATCCCTTGCCTCTCTAACAAGCTTCACTTCTTCATTTAAACTACTACAAAAATGAATACATCGTAGTAATAATAATAATCTTACAATTTTACCTATATCAGGGACAATTTCTTGTCTGCTTATTTACTTAGCCAGCTGATCAGAGAACTCTCTCACCGGTGACTGCTGACCTCTACACGCACAATTGGAGAAAACGGCGCTGGCAAGGACTGACTTAAGCCAATAGTGGAAGACACATCACACAAACTTCAAGAGATCGTCATCTACCGACTTTCAACAACAGCCTGACAAGGTCCGACAGCAGATGGATGGCTTGGTGAGTCAGGGCCCTTTAAGGCTCAGTAACAAAAAAATCCTGTTTAATTCTAAGGGATAAAGAAAGGATGGAAAATAGTAAAATGGAAAATAGTGAAATAAATATATAAAATTTGAAAGACAAAACTACAACCTTAAATGGACTGATCTTTAAATAGTGATTGGTAAAAAATCTGGATTGCAGAAATACTATTGTATGCAATTCAGGAAGAAGATCAGGAGAGTGAGAGAGAGGCTTAGATGTGAATTCTTCTGCCTGATTGGATAATAAGAAACTGATGACTTTATATAAAGAACATGGCTGTGGATTCTGCAGTGGTTCTAGATAAAGCGCTGAAAGAATCTTCATACACTGACTTTCATTCAGTCCACTGGGAGCAGAACTACAGGTTTATTTTTAGGTTTTAGTTGCAGTTTCATCCGCTACTCTCTGGTTTAAAATATGGATTAACAGAGTATCAGTACTAGGACGGTAAATAGGCATTGATCTGAAGGTATTAATTCAACTGCATTGATCCTGGAATTCTATAATAGATTATAATTGTTTCTACATCTGTTTCTGTGTATACATTGTTAGCCCATTTTCACCTTGTTCTTCAATGGTCAGGACCACCACAGAGCAGGTATTAGAGTGTTGGATCATTCTCAGCACTGATGTAGTAGTGACACAGTGTGTGTTGTAGTAGTACATGATGATCAGTTACAGCAGCTTTGCTGGTGCTCAAATTGCTCTTTGATCATGATGTTTTCTGTATATGTTTTAGATGTTCACTGCTCATCTAGTCACATAAAAACATTAACAATTTTGTGTCCTTGTTTAAAATAATCCTTAAACATTCAAAAACAATTTAATTAAATTTGCAGTCAAATTGAATCACTGTGAGATCAGAAATCACCCCTTGCTGTGGTGAATGTATGAGCTGTATGGGTCAGTGTGCTCAAATGAGACAGTAGGTGGGCACTGAGCACGAGAGAGAGAGAGAGAGAGAGAGAGAGAGAGAGAGAGAGAGAGAGAGAGAGAGAGAGAGAGAGAGAGAGAGAGAGAGAGAGAGAGAGAGAGAGAGAGAGAGAGAGAGTTAAGCTCATAGTTAAGCTCTGTTCGAGTGATTTTCAGTTTGACAGTAGTCTTTAAGTAGGGAATACACTGAAAGTGAAGAGGGCTTGATATTTAGATATCTTCTAAATGTAAGTGCTTATTTTATGGTTTTTTGGATTTCTTCTAGATTTCTGGACAATGGTGTTTTATCATTTTACATTACATAGTAGGACAAGAGCATTTAATCTTAATCAGCCGTCTATATATTATTTTAATCATGGTTTATTGTCATCAAAAATCTGTATAGTATATTTTCATGCATGTTGGTGGTTTTTATGTAAATACACTATATGTCCAAAAATATGTAGACATCTGCTCATCCAACATTCAAGAATATTAATTAAGAGCCTCTACTCAGCCTTTAAAAAAATTACAGGATATCAGACCATTGCTGTGAGGATTTCATTGTATGTACTTTTGGATGTATAGTGGATATATGTAGTGTATGCACTGCTGTGTTTAACTTGTTGCAGAGCTTGCTGAATTTGTTATTTCTCATACGAACTGTAATCTGAAATCATGCATATATAAACCTTTTGGTTAGTGCTTTATTTCACCCATGAATCATTTCAGCAGATGTCTGTTCTAATGAGGGTCAGTTCAGGCTAATTTGGGCTAAATCTAGTTTTGTGAATGTCTACAGTGTGTCTTCTGGTCAGCCTTTAACAATTAGCATATTAGCACTTCACCATCCTTTAAATCCTGTTTATTTTAAACAGACCATTCCAAAACCTTTCAAAAGGTGCTGCTATATTTCAGATTGTTATTATTTGATCACTTTCTTTGTAGTCTTCTGCAGGTTTGAATCCAAAATGAAACTTCATGATCCCATCAATGAACACAAACATAATTTATTATATAGATATATTATTTACAATATATTATATAAAATCCTGACCTCTGTGACTTCTGATTTCTGTAGGCTTAAAGTGCAAAAATCTTTGTGGTGTAACCACCCAAAAAATTGCAAAAAAAAGCAAAAGCATCATTAAGAGGCTGATGTTCTTGAAAAACATCTTTATTGACTGCTTTGGCATAAGTGTATGTTAGTATTCTTTACAGTAATACAAATGGTAGAATAATAATGAAAAAATATGTATCTAAAGCTATTCTGTAACAAGAAAAGACAAGAAAAAGCTAGAATTTGTAAAATGCCCTAAGATTTGGAACAAATACATACGTTTGGTTGTCCACATACTTTTGTAATTTTTATATGACCCTATGTCTTAACATTGTATTTATAAAAAAGTATGTGTTTGTATGTGAGGATCTGCAATGAAAAGCTCTGAATAGTAAATACACATCTGATTAGGTTTATAATGGAGGGATGATTTGGTTAATAATAGAGAGATGAGTGGTGACTGTGTGTGTGTGTTCATTTCCATAAGCTTTCTTTTTATTTCATTATCATGGCAGAGCCTGTGTATGTCATAGCCACAGTACAGCATTGAGAACATGAACATTTGTTCGTGTTCAAATGTTGAATATTTATATTTACATACACAGAGATAGATAGATAGATAGATAGATAGATAGATTGATTGATTAATTAAACAAAGTAATAGTAATAGTACATACTCTCTCTCCCTCTCTCTCTCTTTTTCTGAAGTCCACTATGTGGTCAGTGTTGTTAAGCTGTATTGACCTGTTGTTGGTGCTGTATGTGCTGTGTTTGTGGATTATTCCGGCTGTGGTGCAGTACAGCGGCTGCCTGGCTCTGCTGTGGCATGATGTTATAGTGGAGAAGGCTCTGGACGCCGTAACCAGGACTACACGACCACAAGTGAGTTACATACACACATACCCGTACACACATATTAAATGAGTCAGAATGATGAAGCTCCATTGAAGTGGTCTGTTGCTGTTTCTCACTTATGGTGTGAGAAGTCCCAGAATCAAATCCTGGATGAGAGATTTAAAGTGGTCCAACATAAAGAACAATAATTGTTGAAGGGTAACTGCTTTCTAGCAGTTGGTGTCGTGTAGTTGAGGGTAATACCACTGCCATCCATGTACCAGACTGGGGTTCAATTCCCTGGCAGCACAAGCATACCATGAACCAGTAAGAGTCACTGGGTAAGACTCTAAACACTACATTGACCTCTGTACATTGAGGTCAGGGCGAGACCTACATACCTAAGTGTAAAATGAAACACTGCTGGGATGAGTTTAGTCTTTGAGCTCCACTGAACTTGTTATGAGATAAATATAAAATTTGGTGGAAGGGGGATAATGCTATGGGGTTCTTTTTCAGGGCTTTGCCTAGGCCCCTTAGTCCCAGTGAAAGGAAATCTTCACTGGAAAGCCCTCACAGAGCCCTGACCTCAACTTCATCAAACACCTTTAGGATGAACTAGAACGGAGATTGCGAGCCAGACCCTCTCGTACAACATCAGGGTCTGACCTCACAAATGCTCTTCTGAATGAATGGACAAAAATTCCCACACTCCAAAATCTTGCAGAAAGCCTTCCCAGGACAGTGAAAGCTGTTATAGTTGCAAAAGAAGCACCAACTCAATACCTATTAATTTTGAAAGGGATGTCATGAAATCTCCTGTCGGTGTAATGTGCAGCTGTCCCAATATCTTTGTCCATATAGTGTATATATAAACAAAATAAGTCAGTTAGTACTTTCACTCTGCTGTTTTACCTCTGTTTGGTTTAGCGATTGCTGAAAGCAGTGCAGGACAGAGCAATCAGAGGAAATCCTCAGAGTGTAATCTCAGTCATAGACCATTACTGCAGAAACCAGGAGTGGGCCATGAACATGGGAGATGAGAAAGGTAAAAACACATCACACCTATCAAGTTACTTTGCATAACATTCCATATTCCTCTTTCCCCAAATGTAGTGATGATTTAAGAATGCATGATGCTAACTGATGGAATATAAGTCTGCACTATTTGTTTGCTACATTATCCAAGTAGCTCAGACTTTGCATCAAATGAGGACATGCTTGGGCTTAGCCTGTCCAGAGATTACCCCAAGTCCAGGGTCTGCGGGAGGAGTGTGCAAAGACAATTAATTTTTAACAATATTTGTGAATGAAACTATTTAAAATAAAATACTGATTAACTTTAAAGCAGTTATGAACATGCACCAGCTCCAAATTGCTGTATAAGATCTGCAGTAGGACTATCAAAACTTTCTAAGAGCAAGAGTGACGGTCAAACAATGATCTCCGAGTAAACGACTGCCCACCTGTCCGGCCGGACACTGCTGGATGATTGTTTGTAGAGCTCTCCGGCTACCCGCTTCAGACCAGTTACCCACAACCCAGTCACCGCCACCTGCCTTGGACTGGCTGCCCACTCTACACTGAAGTCTCCTAACTATTACTACCTCCTAACTATTACTACTACTACTATTAATATTAGTAGAATAATAATTTTGTACATAGTTTGACCAGAGGAGGATGGGTCCCCCCATGTGAGCCTTGGTTCCTCCCAAGGTTTCTTCCTCAACTGAGGGAGTTTTTCCTTGCCACTGTCGCCCCTGGCTTGCTCACCTGGAGGATTTACATTTCATGTTGAAACGTTGTTCTAAACGGATTTCTGTGAAGCTGCTTTGTGACAACATCAGTTGTAAAAAGCGCTATACAAATAAATTTGATTTGATTTGATCTGAATATCACAGCACAACACTTTTTAACCCTTTAAAATCCCACACCTATTACATACTAAAGCTTATTATTCAGTAACTACAGGGATTTCAATGCAAACTGAGTTATTCTTAGGTTATAGAAGTGTGTAGTAACACTTTGAACCTTTGGCATTTAACAGATTAAATCCTGTTCAAATGACTCTCTAATGTCTCTTACTCTAACTCTTTTCTCACTTGAGGCGGTATCTTTTTTGGCCATACACTGTGTACAGCATGCATGCCACAAAGGAGCTTCATACCTCACAACCTGCAGTCTGATTATAGTTTAGGCCAGGAAATCTTTAACAAACAGAAAGTGAAAATCAAGTCTGAGTACCGCAGAATTATTGGCCATCATGGGAAAGTTTATGGGGAACCTGTATTATACAAGATTCCCAAAATCACAGCCTTATATGGCTGTATGCCTCCAAAACTGCAACAAAACCGTATTTTGTGTGGGTAAACTGAATGGGTTCACACCGGTTACCTAAAGGAGCTAGGTGACAGGCACTTGGGATAAAAGTTATGCAGCAGATTTTAGGTTTAATAAATAGACAGCATATTATTCCAGAACAACAAAGTAAGAAGAAAATAGTAAACACAGTACCTGTTTAGCTACAATAGGTTAGCCAGTTAATCAATGGCTGCTCCCACAGGCTGAAGCTGAGATGTGAAAAGCAGAGATCTCAGCAGGTTGCGTGTTTGGCAGCTGATTGTAATGCCTTTCTTTAATTCGTTTGAAAACGAAGATGACAGTTTGGACCATGTTCATGTGTGCTGGTAATGTTCTTGTTCGAATTAAATACGTACCTCGTGTGTGGGTGATCTTATTCTCTCCCTGAATTAATGTAAATGTAAAAGTACTATGATTTAATTGTACTCATAAAAAGTAATGTTACAGGGAAAAACATACTCAGGTACAATAACGAGAGTAAATGTAATTTCTTACCTTCCACCTCTGATTTTATCCATTTGTGCGACAAACAATTTAGTTGTTTTTAGTTGTAATTGAGTTACAATTTAGTTTTGCTTAGTTTTTGGGAGGCACCAAACCTGCTTATTACCTAAGTAATATATTTTAATTAATTAACTGCAAAAGTGTCCTGGACCTACATGTCTTCTTATCACTTTATAAGTATAAAGATAAGTTATATTCAGGGTTGGGATAGCTACTGAAAAATTTATAGTTAGCTACTTTGTAGCTACTTTCCCAAAATTTGTAGCTAGCTATAATTAAGCTACTTTTCCAGAAAGTAGCTACTTTTTAGCTACTTTTTGAAAAGTAGTGCTCTACGTTTTAGCTACTTTCAAAGCACCATTGTCAGAATATTTGGGTCATTCTACAGAAACGTCCACTTTTCTATCTCTCAGTAGTTGTTACCTCTCTAGCTAGCTACCCAGTAGTTGTTGCTATCTCACACTGTTGTTACCAATCCTCATTGGTGTTACACATAAGAAAGGTAACACCAGAGACAGTAACACCAGTGACATTTTTAATGAAAAATGCATTTTACAAAATGGCTGCTACAGAGCAGCAAACCACATGTCATCAATCATGGAATATCCACTAAAATAGGTAATTTAATCCATTTGCATTATATTTTTTCACAACTAGCTAAGAATAAAGTAGGTCATACCAGTGACTTCAACTAAAAGCTTCATATGAAATCATGAACTAAATGAGAAAATTTGCTTTTCTTCGTAGATCCTTGGAAAATAGGTAAAAGAAGTCAAGTGATGTCATCATTGTGATTGTCCCCTCCAGAACAGAATATTCCAACTGCTTATATAGGGTACTTGTTGTTGAAAAAGGAGACAGAACATATGGTCCTTTTTAAAAGAATCTCATCTATTTGGAATTAAGAGAGAGGCCCACTCCCTATGGGGGCCTTTGGACCAGGGGGCCCCCTTAACTTAAACATTCCAAAACCTGCAAAAACAGAACACATGGAACTTCAGACCTCAACTTATAGTGGAAGTTAAGAGTGTTCTTGCCTTCTTTTATAAAACTATTCTTTTAAATATACCTCATACTTCCCCCCTTCGAAGCTTTCGCAAAGTCTTGAAAAACAAAAAAGTATCACATACATGTTTGCGGTTGTAACAAAATAACAGTTCCACCTACGCATGCTTCCTACAGCATAACCTTAGCAACTTTCTGGAGTGTGAGAGCGAAAAAACGTGTCAGGCAGCTATCATTCCTGAAATGTCCATCAAACAATCTAGACAGGAAAAATTCTCTCACGGTCCCTCTGCCTTAGGCGACCACATAAAGTACTCCAGACCACTTTAAAGAGGAGGAATTTTGACAAATTGTATAGAGATATGACTTAAGCAAATACATATGGAAACCTCAGAAAATAAAATCAAAACAATGTCCACATTCAGGCTGGTTGACCCATCAGACCTTCCAATGGACCTTTTCCTGCCTAAAAACATCTGAGGTCCCAATGTACTTACCCCATAACAGAAACCATCAGTCTTCAAGCAATTTAAAACAAAGAAAGTGTTATAAATTTAAGTACTACTCATGCAATAAACAACTCAAACACTCAATCCAACTATTATGTCTTACTAAGATTATCACTACCTTATAAATGTCCTCTATCAATATCACACATTACAATATAATATAACAAAATCCAATACTATTCAAAATAGATATATGAAGACATAAAAATGTATCACACTGCAGCTCCTCAGCAGCGTCGACTCTCAGTGTAGTGTCGATGATGTGTTGACTCTGGGCATTGTATCACAGTGTCGTTCAGTCCAGTCTTATTGTCCATGCACATCGGGGTCCCCGAACATCCAACCACCCTTACAGTGGTCTTCCACCAACATCATTCTTGAAGGAAAGAAAAGAAAACCACAAACCAGTATCTTTTGCAAAAACAACAGATGCAAATTGATCAAATACAGATTAACACCTAATAAATGTGAAATTCACAGTATCATACTTTCACATTGTTCCAAGTTATAAATCACCTTTTTCATTTCCCCCTGCTATCATCCCACTCTATAGTAAGAAACTACTAAATACCAAAATAGTAACAGAAATAAATGTTAAGACTATAATAAGAGTAGATATTCAAAATGGATATTTCTCCATCAGTTTGCCTTCTATCACCACTTCCTCATCATCGTCTGTGTCAGTCTTATGTAGTAATGGCATCTGAACTTGATCTCCAGGCATCACAACGCCAACCCATCTCAATATCATAGCCTTCGCAAAAGTTAACAACAATGTACAGAAACAGAACATCACACTCAATGATATAAGAACTGCTACCATAGTCTGAACCAACACTGCTCCTAATGGTCCTAATTTCTCCTGCAACCAAGCATTTGCAGACCATCCAGCTCCTTCCGATGGGCCAAACACATCCTTTATATGCTTCAATGCATCTATGACACTAGTCATATTGTCAGAACTATCAGGAATCAAAGTATAACAAGCATCACCAGTTAAGTTCAAAGTCACACATAGGCCACCTTGTTTGGCCAAAAGATAATCAAGAGCCATGTCATGTTTCAGCAACGTCAGTCTATGACTTTTTGAGTATTTGACAAGTATTCAAAACCTCTTATAGTCTCATTTGCAAAACCCTGTAGGGTGTAGGTAATATTATCAATGTGATCTGCCAAAAATGTCACACCATACCATGGAAATAATCCTATACCCCACTTCTCTCCTAGACTTATCCTCCAATGATAGGACTCCAGATTATGAAATTGTGCCAGTTCCCTTTTCTTCCTACTTCCAGAAATAGCATCAGATTGAATCTCATCAGATACTTTTCCCTTCTGAACAGTAAAAAACCTCAAATGGAAGCTTCAACATTGCCATGTAACAGCATCCTATCCACCCATACGGTAGAAATATATATGCCTTATCACCACAAACCCACCAAATATCCTTAAAATTCCCTATAGTCACATTTCCAGGCAACTTTTGGTTCCGCACCATCAAAATTCTACTCAGTTTGCGATGTGGTACCTGAAAAGTCACTTTATACAAGTCATCCATAACCTCATATTTACGCTCACCCAAGTCCATAATATAGTTGTTACAGTCTGATATTCCCATAAATTTTCCAGGCCCATTATGAGGATCATCTGAACAAGAACAACAGTCTTT